TAATCCCTTTGGAAACATTAAAGAACAAGAATAATTAAAGTAACAACAACTCACTTCATAAATAAATAAAAATCATTCAATACATAAGCACAACAAGGTATTTAATCCACACTTTAAACATGAATATTTCCATAAACAAGATTCAAGTGTTGGAAATAAATACTACACACTTAAATATTCAATACAAAGCAAGGAAATGAATAAATAAACATAAATGGGTAAGAAATTCTCAACCAAAAGCTTCAATCTTCAAGACCAAAGTGTGTGTGCAAAGCCCTAGCTTCCAAAACTTGTTCTCTCTAGCCCTAAGAACTGAAAATAAGCCAAAGATGTCCAAAGATCTGCTTGGTCGTGTATAAAAAATGGTTTGGGGATTAAAAATGTGAAGTTCCAGAATTGCCCAGGCCTGAAGCTCGATCTTCGCAATTGCGAACAAAAGTTCGCAATTCCCAACTCTGCATGTGCTGCTTCACTTCGTATTAGCGATGATAGCTTCGCATTTGCGAAGATTGACCTTTTCAGTTGACCTCGCATTTGCGAAGTGCTACTCGCATTTGCGAAGACTGACTTTTCCAGTTGACTTTGCATTTCCCAAGCTTTTGTCGCAAATGCGACCACTGAGTGCATTTCCCAGATTTTTTCCTCTTTTTAGCTTCTTTTTGACTTGTTTTCACTTGGTTTCTTCAACATTACCTCTAAATCACATTCACCCTGTAAAATAGAAGTAAATGACATTAAATACATGATTTTATCACTCAAACATAGCAAAATTATAGATTTAAAGACAAGATAAGTTGGTAAAATACCAACTTATCAACCATACAAGAATTGGGTGGCCGCAAAAGTTGCTTCGCAGCCACAATTCAGAAATGTGCGGCTGCAGAATCCACTCTTCTGGAAACTGAAGAAATCTGCGGACCGCACATGGATTTGTGCGGCCGCAAAACCTCCCGAGGGACATTTTTGTCAGCGAATTGTGGCCCACTATAAATAGACAAGTTTCACAATTTAGGTCAAGTGAAGTTCAAAGCTGTTATAGCATTTACCTTTTGCCATTTTAAGAAGTTTGTGATTATTTTAGTGTTTAAACATTATATTTCATCATTTTTATCTTTGATTATGAGTTTAATTAGCTTTTCTTCTTTATTTTCTTCAATTTCCATTACGAGTAGCTAGATTCTTATTAGGGTTGTGACCCAACCCTAGTGTGTAAACCTTATGGGTATTTAATTTAATGTTTGTTTATGATTGAGTGTTGATTATTTAGCTTAGTTTATGCTTCAATTTTAGATTTAATGGTTGCAAACATTGATTCATACCTTTTGACTTAGTCTCTACTTGAGAGAGAGGGACCTAGTCTAGGATAACTTGGCTAACAAAGAATTGGGCTAATTGAGAGATTGATTAGCCTAATTAAAAGGTTCAAACTAGAGATAGTAAGAACCCGATTTGATCTCATATCAACTATTTTATTTGATACCCATTTGGACTTGAGAAATCCAATTGGGCAAAATCACTCTCTGGCTGAGAGGTGGGTAATGTAGAGTTGAGAGTTATAATACATCCCAATCAACAAAACAAGTATTAACTTCTTTATCCCATTAGGCGAACACCTAGGTTATGGTCACATCCCTAGGCTTTTAAACTATTTGGAAAATCACCAAAAACATTCATTTCTTGTTTGTTTTCCTTAGCTCACAATTTCTAGAGTAATAGTAGAAGTAGAAATCAAAACTTGTTGTGGAAGTGCAAATTTAGTTAATCCATTCGCTTTCTTCAAGTATATACTCCTAACACCCTTATAACTCCCTGTAGATTCGACCCGACTCATAGCTGGGTAATTTATATTGCATATGATCGTATCATATCTCTTATAGAGGTGTGTTGTGGACGTCATCAAGGTTCAAATAAAAAACATCAAGGATAAAATAAGATAAAGTCGCTTGAAATGGAGAATGATGGTGTTAAAAGAGGAGGAATGACCTATAATTTCGAGGGGGGGTATATATAGACTTAGCCAAAAAAAATATATAGGGCACTATAAAAGATAAAGAGTTATGGGGGCAATACATATTAGTTAAGGATAAGTTTTAGAAAGCACTTTAGTTATATGTATACTCTTTAAGAAGGAATAGAAAAGATGACTTGGCACCTTTCTTTGATCCTCTCTCTCTAAAACTACTCACCATGGATCCCCAACCCTATGAATCTCAATCCCCAATTCCACCAAAGCCCCCAGACATTAAACTTGACAAATCTACTCCAAACGAATTAATGGCCAAATCTTCATTCAAGGACATGCTAGTTGCTTCTGACCCAATGAGCTTCGCCCCAAACCTAGGACAGACCGACATGGACCTGACAAAAATCTCCACAGAAGAGGAAACGTCCATGCACTTATCGAGCTCTACTGCACGAGGCATTAAGCAGATTCCTTTAACGGAAGAAGACATGCAGCGTATTTATGAGCCATGGAAATGCTCAATAATTGTTAAATTGGTTGGAAAGCGAATGTTACACCAATATTTAAAAAAAAATTCAGGAACTTTGGCATCCAACAGAAGATCTTTCACTAATAGATCTTGGAGAAGATTACTACATCATTAAATTTAGAAAAAGGGAAAATATGGAGAAAGCTATCAACTAAGGGCCTTGGTTCATCAATGGCCACTTCCTGTCAATTTCTAAATGGAAACCTAATTTTGTGGCTACAAAAGAGAGACTAACCACCTCAGCAGTATGGATTAGACTGCCCCATTTACCAACGGAATTTTATGATTCAAAAATTCTAGAAAAGATTGGAAATGCAGTTGGACGTTTATTAAAGATTGATGTTTGTACATCAACCACTCTAAGGCGATGTTATGCAAGAATTTGTGTAGAAATACCATTAGAAATACCAGTGCAACCTTTTCTCTATATTGGCCTTCATTAACAATACATTTACTAGGAAGGAGAAAATTTCTTATGCAAAAAATGTGGAAGATTTGGTCACACGATGGAACACTGTAGCTATGTCCTAAAATCCCCAGAAAATACAACTTCATCCAAAGATCAAGTTATTCAAACAGAAGAGAACTTGGAGGAAAGATGGAAAACAGTCTCATTTAACAAAGGAAGAAAACATAGTGCAAGGAATTTTTGTCCAGTTCTCACAAATCCAACCAATTATTCCAAGAGCCCAGGTATCTCTGTAAATCTCTTCAATGCTAATACAGGTAAGTTCTTAAACACTCAATTACTTCACTACAAACCTAAAGAACCCTCTAGGTTTCACCACCCTAGTAAGAATCCGGTCGCAATAAACACTGATCAAACCACTTTGGCTATGGAAAACCATTTTTTCCTACTTGAAGGAGAGCAAATGGTTTTGGAAGATACCATTAATCTTCTAATTAATAATAAATTAAAAAATATTAATCTAAATACTTGTGAACACTTGTCCCTTCAGCACAAGGACCCAGCCATGCTGGATATAAACGTGGCAAATAGTTTCACTAATGAAAATAATAAAAAAAAAAAGGCCATGCAAAATGACACACAAATGGACGAAACTAACCCTTCTACTAATGATAACCCTACTAACACTACTAAGAGACAAAACCACAGTTTCGGTAATAATCTTTCTTTAGACAAAAAAATTGAACAAAATCTTTTCCTTAGATATGGAGACATATCTACTCCTGGGCATGCAAGCCAAATGGCTACTAACACCATTGACAATGGACAAATGTCCTACGCCCTTGAGGAAGAGTTGGATACTATATCCATGGAAGATATTCGTATAAACCATAGCATTGGGCAACCAAAAGACTTGCAATCATCACCTACCTTTCCCCTAACCCCCAATCACTTGGCTACTGACAGTAGCCTAATCCCCACGCCTACTACCACTCTCATAAACTCTCAATCCACCATTAAAGATGCCAAGACTTCCTTCAACCCTAAGAAGAAGGAACAGACTTATCCAAATACTACGACAACACATAACACAATCCATGGAGAACCTTCCACTCTTTCCACCACTCGAAAACCCACAAATTGTATATGCACAACCCCCACAGGCACAGGATTATCAACCTGGCTCGTGGATGGAACTAGGTCTAATGGGTCATGCAGTCTCCTTCAATGTTCAAATCAATGGACAAGAAGCGATTGTGATACTTCACAACACTCAGTACCTAGCACAGCTAGTAACAGAGGGAATGGGGCTTGCCATGAACAATTACCTAAATCAAATGTGGTTGAACAACATCCTTATACCCTCCTTAAACCCTCAGATGGTCCATGCAATGATGCATCAATGGAACATGCCTCCACAGTTCAACCCAATTCATCCACAAAATGTTCCACTGGACATGCCCTTCTTTCCCACAGAAATGTGCACTCACCTAAACCCTATTTTTCTGCCATAGGAGATCAACCCAGCTCCCCAAGACCAACCTCACCCTCCCATGCAGCAACAAGCTCCACCTCCTCAGGAACAAGAAAACCAAATACCAGGTCCAGTAGAAGCAGCAATGGAGGAGGAGGAAGAACCCATCAATCCAATCTTCGAGCGAGTCCTAGAGTTCTCAAGTCTAGACGGGATAAAGGTATTTCTCTTCAGGGAGATGCAAGAGAAGAGGCATGTGCTCAGTTGCCCACTGACACTCTTCAAGTGCTCGATGGATATCAGACCACCTCAGGATCCAACAGTGGGCAACAAAGCCATGATCCTAGTGCCATCACTGAGGAGGAATCCTGTGTTTCCAGGAGGGATCAGGGAGAACGGAGAACCAGAAAACTCAACCATTAATCAAGACATGAATCGCCCAACCAACATCATTATATGGAATATAAGGGGAGGAAACAATGAAAACTTTAGAAGGAATTTCAGGGAGATGGTTGATACCCATAGACCCTGTTTAGTAACTCTTCTCGAAACAAGAATGGTGAACCATGCTGAGTTGCTCGATGACTTTGAATTTACAAAGTTAATAGAGGTTCCAGCGGAGGGCCAATCAGGTGGCATGGTGATGATGTGGAACCACGAAATAGTTAGTGTCCATAATGCTGTCCGTAGAAACCAGGAAATTCATGCAACAATTGAGGTAATTCCTATCCGTAAAAAGTGGCTTTTTTCTTCAATTTATGCTAGCACTAGTCTTCATAATAGAAATTTGATGTGGGATAACTTAGAGCACATTATCAAGACTTACAAAGGACCTTGGATAGTTGGAGGTGACTTCAATGATATCATAGCTTCAAATGAAAAGTTTGGTGGTAGACCTATCAAAGATAATAGAGCTAATTTTATTTGGTCTAAGATAAATTCTTGTAATCTATTAGATTTAGGTTTCAAAGGGTGTAAGTATACATGGTCGAACCTTAGGCATAGAAACAAGGGGCTCATCATGGAACGTTTAGATAAAATTTTAGGAAATGAAGACTGGATAGATCTATTCCCAAAAAGCTCTATAATCCATCTACCCAAAACACACTCGGACCATAACCCCTTACTTCTTGAATTAATTCCTAAAAATAGGCTACACCATAATGCACCCTTTAGATTAGAAACGTTCTGGTGCAAGCATCCAGAATTTCAAACTATCATAGAAACCAATTGGCTAAAGACTGACTATTTGAAAGGCAGTCAAAATTTTATTGACAAAATCAAGCCTTGGAAGAATAGTACTTTTGGTAACATAATGGGGAAGAAAAGGAAAGTACTGGCTAGACTTCAAGGGATTCAAAATTCCATCAGTTATACTACTAATATTTTTCTTCAACAATTAGAAAAAGATTTCAAAAATGAGTATAATGATATCCTAAAAATCGAGGAAGACTATTGGAAATTAAGGTCTAGGATTTTATGGCTAAACGAAGGTGATGCAAACGCTAGGTTCTTCCACATCACTGCAACTAATAGGAAAAGAAGAAACAAGATCAATTTCTTTAAAGATGACAATGGTAACTGGATTAACGATCATGACCATATTATGTCTCATGTCCTCAACTACTTTACAAATTCATTCACAACTTCTCACTCCTCTAACAAGTGGAATGGCCCTCTAGGTAGCACCTCCTCATATCCAAAGATAGACCTTATATCCTTAGATGCACCCTTACTAGATATTGAAATCAAAAGGGCTATATACTCTTTCAAATCTTTTAAGGCCCCAGGTCCGGATTGCCTACATCCATTCTTCTTTCAGAAATATTGAAAAATCGTAGGGCAATCTGTAACAAATCTTTGTCATAACATATTCAATACTCAAGAAGTCCCAAAAGAGATCAACAAGACCTACCTGTGCCTACCAAAAAATCCTAATGCCAATAATATTAAGAATTTTCGACCAATTGGTTTATGTAACACCATCTACAAAATTGTCACAAAAGTTCTTTCTAATAGACTAAAGCCTTTCCTGGATCTCTTAATAAGCCCCTACCAGGCTAGCTTTATGAAGAACAGAAGAGCTGCTGACAATGCAGTCATCATACAAGAAATAGTTTCAAAATTTAATAAAATAAAGGGTAAACAAGGCCAAATGATTCTAAAAATTGACCTAGAAAAGGCCTTTGACCATTTGGAATGGTCATTTGTTCACCACACTCTGAAATATTTCAACTTCCTCCCAAAATTCTGTAAGCTTTTACTTAATTGCATCTCAACAAGTAGTATATCTATTCTAATAAATGGTTCTGTCACAAGGTTCTTTGAGCCTAGTCATGGCATCAGGCAAGGTGATCCCATTTCACCTTATATTTTCATTCTATGCCTAGAAATGCTAACTAGATATATCAATCACCAAGTTGACACTAGAAATTGGGATCCAATTACCCTAGGGAAGAACAGCCCAAGTTTTTCACGCCTATTTTTTGGTGATGATCTTACTCTAATGGCCAAGGTCAATAACAAGTCATGCCATGCTATTAAAAATGGCCTAGACCTTTTTTGTAGCCTCTCCGGGCAATGTATTAACAACGCCAAATCAAAAATTCTATTTTTTAAAAATTGCACCCCTCCCCTCATCAAATCTACTTCTATTACACTAGGAATAAAAAGTTGTGATAACCTCGGTTCTTACCTAGGTTTTCCAATTCTTAATAATTGTCCAAGACCTAGAGATTTCTAATTTATTATTGACAAAATGAGATCTAAGCTAGCTTCGTGGAAATTAAAATTCATAAACATGGCAGGCAGAACTACCCTAGCTAACTCATCGCTTAACTCTATTCCCAATCACTATATGCAGTATACCCTTCTCCCAAAAATTACCCTCAATAAGATTGAAAAAACTCAGAGGGACTTTATATGGGGTAGCACTATTGGAAAAAGGAAAATTCACCTTATAAATTGGTCTACTATGTGTCAACCTAAAAATAATGGTGGCTTAGGCATTCACAGTGCCAAATCAAAGAATCTATGTACATTAGCAAGTCTTGCATGGAGACTCCTAACCAATTCTATATCCCCTTGGGCCCGACTAATCATATCCCCCTACTGTCTAAACAAAACTAGTAATATAAAATCCTTCATCTGGAAAAGTATCCAAAAAGGCTGGGATATATGCTCTAAAGGTATCACTTGGTCCCCTCACTATCTCAGCAATATGAATATTTGGGAAACTAACTGGATTACTAATATGGGAAGCCTTAGAAGGGAAGCAACGGCTCCTCTATCCATAACTGACCTTTCAATAAAAATAAGAGATATTTGGGACAAAAAATCTTGGTATTTTGATAAGTTAAGCCTAGACCTTCCTAACAATATCAAAGATAATATCATTAATACTAAAATTCGTAAGAAAGGACCTAACAATGATGTCCCCATATGGTCCTTAACCACAAAAGGTTTTTTTACCTCCAAATCGTGTTATGCCTTAATAGATCCTCCTTCACACAATGAACCCGATTTCGCCTGGATCTGGAGCCTAAATTGCCCTAATAAAATTAAAATCTTCCTGTGGCAATGTCTCCATAATAGACTTCCATGCCGGAAGTACCTCTCACAAATTGGCATGAATGTTGACCCTTTATGCCCCATTTGCAAGTGCCACGAAGAAGAGACTATAAGCCACATTTTCCTTCATTGTCGGGCGGTTAAAATTTTTTGGAAAAAATTAGGGTGGATTAATTTAGAAAACAAGTCCAACAAGCATTGGCTCCTTCGAATAAAAAGCTTAGACTTCACCCTCTCCAAAAACCTTCTAAACTGGAACTTCTTCTTTCGTTTTGCAATTTGGCAGATTTGGATCAATAGAAATAATAACAACCATAACAACACGGACTTTCCTATCAACATTAATCATATCATCCAAAAAGCAATCGAATTCACTTTTCTCACTGAAAAAGGCCCTAACACTTGTACCAAAATTCCCATCCAAATTAAATGGAACAAGCCACCGAAAGGGTGGTTTAAACTAAATATCGATGCTAGCTTCAAAAATCACAATGAAAAAACTGGCATTGGAGGAATAATCAGAGATACCTATGGGAATTGGATAGTTGGATTTGCTAAGACTACTCAGGCTACAGGATCACTACATGCAGAAATAAAAGCTCTCATGGAAGGGTTAAAAACAACACAGGAATGGGGCATGTTCCCGCTGGAAATAGAGACGGACACTACGGAGGTCATTCATTCACTACATCAAGGGAACAGGTTATATAATAACATTATTGATAAATGCAGGTTGTTCATGCACCAACAGAAGGTGATCCTCGAGCACACCTTCAAGCAAGGGAATAGGATTGCACATCACTTGGCAAAGAAGGCACGGCAGAAAAGAAAGCAAATTTTTGTATTACCACCATGCTATGTAAACTCTCTAGTAGAAAGTGACAAGAATGAACTCTATGTTTGTATTAAGTCTTTATCTTATGATGCTTGTAATATCCTAGCAAGCTTAGGAAATCAAAGTGTCCTTGATGACACAAACTATGAAGGCTATGTATGCAACAACTAATTATTAATATATATTATTTCTGTTTGCTCAAAAAAAAAAATACTATCAATTGATTTAAGATTCTTCTGAGCTTTGAAGTGCTTGTGTTGATTATAAAGGAGTGAATAACAATGCAGGCTTCAAGATATTCAATTACGCTGAACCAGATATTCAATTAGTTTGTGATGATTCTAATATTTTTAAATTGACGGCTCTGATTAAGGACCATCTAAAACTCCTCATGATGGTGGAGGTTGCAAAGGATATCATGTGGCAAATGATTGAAGTAGTACTCTGCCCATTTGTTTGCACCGAATCTTTATGATATTCAATAATACTTACTGGGTAAGTTACTTACAAACTACAATATTCTTAATAATTTTCCTTCCTTTATTACTTATTCGCTTTTCATCGCATGTAGATGCTGCTTGGAGATAGTAATTCCACTTTATCTACACGTTGGTGGTCATGATCTTTAAGTTTCAAAAAGAGGAGAGCTCAGCAAGTGTATATCTTTATACTACAACAAAGGTTATTAAATGTGAGTTGTAAATTTCAGAAATCGTGGCATAGAATTTGTTAGTCAAATGGTTGGAGGCCTTATCTTTTTATGATATTTCTTTGAGGATTATATTCAGGTATCTGTTTATGCCAAAAATGAATTTGTGCGTTAGATAAATTGTCTGATTGTCTTTATCTCTCAATTATTTGATATTTGATCTTCCTAGTTATTATTTATTTATTATGCAATTAGAGAGGATAACAAAAAGTTATAACTGTTGTCACCTTCTTTTAACGAATATCCCTAAAAAGATGTAACTATTGTCAATAACTTATTACAATCAATCCTTTAAAACTTCTGGCTTTCCATTATATAGTGTAGAGTAACGTCAGAGATTTATAAAAAGAAAAGAATATCACAGAAAAAGAAGAGTGTTGAGTCTTTGATTTTTCATGCGATCTCGATAGCCTATGCACCTCTTAACCGACCTCTGACAAGAAGGTACCAATGTTGACATTTAATATTCATTAAGTACATTATCTCAATTAATTATTTAATTTTATTTTCACCAATAAAACAAGATTTAGTCTTCTAATTTAAACCTTCAAATTAGCTCAATAACGTTGTTGCAAAGGAATAGAGTGTACGCTTCCATGTGTATAAAAAATAGACAAAGGGAGTCTTGAAAATTGTTGAAAGAAGCAATCAACCTTGAAATATAATTAGATCACAGTTATTGCTTATGATTGAAGAATATAGAGAAGATAAAATTGAACAAAGAGTAAAGATTTATTTTTTTAATTATAAAGATTTTAACAATAAATTTTGTTCATATTTATTTTTTAAAGACCATACTAAGCGCGGACAAAATTGACTAGCTAAATTTATAAAGCTAACCAAAATTCTCACAAAATTTCATCCAGTTTCGCTGATAGAATCAATACGAGTATCTATGACAATCTTGATCAACTTCAAATTGCAAATATTTACTTGAACTGATATAAGAGAGTCCAAATATTTGCTAATAAAAAGAGAGGTTGATAATAGTATAAGAGCACAATTTTCTCTATCGATCATCTCTTAATTATCAAAGAGAAAAAGAGGTAATTTACGAGTCCCTACTTAAGATGTGACCATGTCTTACCCTACTTTAATCCTTCGTAGGTCAACCTAGCGATTTGCTCATGCATATATTCTTTTGATGGAGTACTCGCAATTACTTCATGTTTATGTTCTCGTAGAAAGAGTAAAAAAGAGATCTCCTTGCTTCGTGCAATTCAGAAGAGGAGAGAATTCTCAGTCTAAAAGAGCAAGATTGAATTCTTTCTAGTTAGACTCTATAGTATGATCACGGTCTAATAAGGTTTAATTGTTAATCTAATGTTGGTTTTGACCGTGGAGGCGTGGAAAGCTAATATATTTACCTAAGTGCTTATTTGGTTGAGGAGATAAAGGTCCCTTGTCTCACAACCTTCACTCTTTCTTATCCAATCAAACATTTTATTAGTTTCACACCCAGACCTTGCTATTTAACCATTAAGTAGCAGCTTGAATCTGTATAAGGTTAGAACATAAGAGTCACCACTTTGGGCTTTGGCTATTCTTGAATGACTATGTTACACTGCAAACCAGAAATGTAATTTCTGGAACTGCAAACATTATGTTAAGTTCATGAGATTCATTCAGCCAAGAGAAACATCTGACATCGGTCATCCGAAAGAGTTCGTCTCAATAGAAAGATCAACTGGTATCACCCGAACAGCTTGGGATCCAACACAAAGAGAGCGGGACGAAGCAGCTCAAGTAGACTCAACTAATTTGCACAGCATAAACTACTGTTTCATATCTCATTGTGAGCAAGAATCGTAGCTCTTGTTAACTCACTACTGTAAAAAGTTAAAACAACAGATTCAGGGGTTCTTTGTTTTCAGTTGGGGGCATGACCAGAAAGATATAGAAAATGAATTAGGTTTAAATTTCTGCAATAAAAAGAAAACCAGTGTGTGTACTCAGCAGCAAGCAATTGAACTTCCGACAAAGTGAAAAATTACCATTATGGAGTCTTCTCTCCATTGTCATCTGAGATGAGGTGTTCCAGCTCATCAATAATGGCATCATAGCAGAAAAGGTATTGATCCTGGAACATACTATATGTTAGATATTCAGCATAATATAAACTAAACAACTATAAGGAAAATCATTGAGAATATTGGAACACACAGAGATATAGATATACTCGGGTGGAAAAGAACTTTAAAATAAAAAAAGAAGATTAGTTGAGAATATGGAACATGTTTGTCCTGAGTAGAAATAAATTATCGGAACTTTCCCTCTGCATGAGCTGAGCAGGAAAAAGATATTCTTGTAGTCACAGATGTCAAGGATGAGAAGAATAGAAAAGTGCCAAGGTACTCTGTGGCTTTAAGTGCTAAACACAATTAAAGAGTGGACTTATAGTGAAAAGAAGCACTAAAAAGGTTAAAAGGACAAACGAGATGCATTAAAAAATAACTATAACACAACCGCTAATTATTTGGACAAAAAAATTGGAAACAACTATAATTAAGGTAGATATACGAAGAAGAAGTAGTGTTAATCAAATCCAAAAACCAATTAAATTTCTGATTTAGATTTGAAATACAGTTTTAAGTTTCTGGTGAAGAGTGTTTTTATACTAAAATTTTAATTCTATTCTAAATCACTAAAAAGGTCATTCATAATGCATTATTAGCAATTATTATCACTTTGTCAACTTTCTTTCTATTGTCTAGCGCCGCCCCTTAAAGACAACGCCTATGGGTGATAAGGTGCATCTCTTGATGCTTGGTATTTGCCCTAGAGCGCCATCTAAGCGACACGACGCATTGAACTTGAGCTTCACCTAGTTTGAGGACTTAACCTCATGCAAGCTTTTGACATCACTGCTTATAGTATCCATGAAACATGGTTAACGACGTATAAATAAAGACAAAAAGAATACTAATACATAGTTAAGTTTAGTAAAGTTGTATGTCACAACTTCCAACATCTGGTTTCCTCTATTATTTTCAGGCGGTGACCAAGGAAGTGAAGCATAAAGATCTTGCACAGCCATATTTTGATGGTATACGAAGTGACTTAAAACCATAATTTGCCCTTTATAATTTGGTTTATTAACACGGTTAGTTTGGTAGTTAAATAGTATTAAGTAACTTTAATCCCATATGTATTAGGAGTAGGCCATGTAGTATATATATATATAGGGCTCATTGTATCATTGTTAAGACATGTGAATAATAATATTTTCTCCCGTGCTTTCTCACATGGTATCAGAGCCGTAGTGGTGAGATACATCCAGGAAGTAAAATACAGAGCAGAAGTCGCCGTGCCTCAATTTTCCGTCGACTTTTTCAAAGCTGTTTACGTTATCTCTCTCCCCGTCAGTGTTGTGCAAAATCCAACACTACCACAAGATCCGTCATCGTCCGGCGACCAAACCTTAGTAACATCACCGGCAGAACCCTCCACACGCGCGCTCACGCGCCGTCAGAAGCTAGGTTTCCGGCGAGCGCGTGAGCTCACGCACCGGTGAGTACGACCACTTCCGGCCATTTTTTGACGACGTTTCTTCAGAACAGTTGGGTCGGCTACTAATTCCAACCCTACCCATACTGTTTTCGTTTGATTCTGACAACTTTGAGTTTTTCCGGCAGCTACAGTAATTTTCCGGCAAAAAAAAAAACAGTGTCTCCTTCGTCTGTTTCAGGGAATCTTCAATTGATTCTTTCTTTTATTTGGTTATAATTTTATAGACCTCTCTTCAATCCAACGATATCTTTGGGAGTTAATGTTTTCGGGTCTGAAAACTCGGGCTCTTGCAGTTCCGGTATTATGATTACCTCAGAACCTTTAATGGGAAGTTCAAACTACTTAGCTTGGGCTTCGTCTGTCGAGCTGTGGTGTAAAGGTCAAGGTGTTCAAGATCATTTAATCAAGAAGTCTAGCGAAGGAGATGAAAAGGCCAAAGCACATTGGAAGAAGACCGATGCTCAATTATGCAGTATTCTGTGGCGATCTATTGATTCCAAGTTGATGCCCTTGTTTCGTCCATTCCAGACATGTTATTTGGTTTGGGAAAAGGCTCGCACTTTATACACTAATGACATATCTCGCTTCTATGATGTGATATCGCGGATGACAAATTTAAAGAAACATGAATTAGATATGTCTACTTACTTGGGACAAGTACAGGCAGTCATGGAGGAATTTGAGAAGTTGATGCCAGTTTCTGCTAGTGTTGAAAGGCAACAAGAGCAGCGACAAAAGATGTTTCTAGTTCTTACTTCTTACTCTTGCTGGACTTCCTAATGATCTTGACTCAGTACGCAATCAGATTTTGGCTAGTCCGACTGTCTCCACAGTTGATGAATTATTCTCTCGATTACTTCGCCTTGCTGCAGCACCAAGTCACCCCGTGAGCTCATCACAGACACTTGACTCATCTGTTCTCGTATCCCAATCAGTGGACAATCGGGCATCTCAAACTATGGAGAACAGACGAGGAGGAGGTCGTTTTGGAAGATCTAGACCCAAGTGCTCTTATTGTCATAAACTTGGACACACTCGTGACGTGTGCTATTCTTTACATGGTCGTCCACCCAAAAATGCTTATGTTGCTCCGATCGAGACTACAGGTAACCAGGGATTTTCTTTATCTGAAGGGGAGTTAAATGAGTTCCTTCAATATCGAGCAAGTAAGCAGACATCTCCACAAGTAGCCTCTGTTGCTCAGACTGATACTTCTGTTGCTGGTAATTCTTTTGCTTGTGTTTCCCAGTCTAGTACTCTTGGACAATGGGTTGCGGACTCAGCCGCTTCTGATCATATCTCTGGTAATAAATCACTTTTGTCAAATATTGCGTATTCACAGTCTCTTCCCACTGTTACTTTAGCCAATGGGTCTCAAACTAAAGCAAAACGAGTTGGACAAGCGAATCCCCTACCCTCTGTCTCTCTAGATTTCGTTCTTTATGTCCCCGGCTGTCCTTTTAATCTTGCATCTGTTAGTCGTTTGACTCGTGCCCTCCATTGCGGTATATATTTTATTGATGATTCTTTTATTATGCAGGACCGCAGTACGGGATAGACGATTGGAACAGGACTTGAATCAGAAGGCCTTTACTACCTTAACTCACTCAATTCCTCCAAGGCATGTCTAGTTACAGATCCTCCGGACCTAATTCACAGACATTTAGGACATCCAAGCTTCAGAAGATGGTGCCTAGTTTGTCTAGTTTATCTACATTAGAGTGTGAGTCATGTCAGCTCGGGAAACATACCCGAGCCTCCTTTCCTCGTAGTATTGAGAGTCATGCAGAGTCTGTTTTTTCTTTAGTTCATTCTGATATATGGGGTCCTAGTAGAGTCAGTTCAACCTTGGGATTTCGTTTTTTTATTAGTTTCATTGATGATCATTCAAGATGTACTTGGATTTTCTTAATGAAAGATCGTTTTGAGTTATTTTCTATATTCCAGAATTTTTGTGCTGAAATTAAAAATCAATTTGGTGTTTCTATTCGCACTTTTCGCAGTGATAATGCCTTAGAATATTTATCCTCTCAATTTCAGCAATTTATGACTTCTCAAGGAATTATTCATCAGACCTCTTATCCTTATACCCCTCAGCAAAATGGGGTTGCAAAGAGAAAGAATAGGCACGTCATTGAGACTGCTCGCACACTTCTCATTGAATCTCAAGTTCCGTTGCGTTTTTGGGGCGATGCAGTTCTCACAGCTTGTTATTTCGTTAATCGGATGCCTTCATCTCCCATTCAGAATCAGATTCCGTATGCAGTATTGTTTCCCCAGTCACCCTTATACTCTGTTACCCCTCGTGTTTTTGGGAGCACTTGTTTCGTTCATAACTTAGCCCCTGGGAAAGATAAGTTAGCTCCTCGTGCTCTCAAGTGTGTCTTCCTTGGTTATTCTCGTGTTCACAAGGGATATCGTTGTTACTCACCTGATCTTCGTAGGTACTTTATGTCATCTGACGTCACATTTTTTGAGTCTAAACCTTTCTTTACCTCTTCTGACCATTCTGACCACCTTGATATATCTGAGGTCTTACCTATACTGACCTTTAAGGAGTTTACTATAGCTCCTCCTTCACCTTCCGCCACAGAAGTCTTACCCATTCCAACCGTTGGGGAGTCGTGTGGCTCCTCCTAGACTCCCCGCCACAGGAACACCATTCTTGACATATCATCATCGTCCGCACCCAACATCAGGCCCAGCTGATTCACGTCCTGCACCTGACCCTGCTCCTACTGCGGACTTGTCCCTTCCTAGTACACCGATTGCACTTCGGAAAGGTATACGGAGCACCCTTAATCCTAATCCCCATTATGTCGGTTTAAGTTATCATCGTTTGTCGTCACCCTATTATGCTTTTATATCTTCTTTGTCCTCTGTTTCCATCCCTAAGTCTACAGGTCTCATCCAGGACGGCGACAGGCTATGACTGACGAGATGTCTGCTTTACATACGAGTGGTACTTGGGAGCTCGTTCCTCTTCCTTCAGGTAAATCTATTGTTGGTTGTTGCTGGGTATATGCAGTCAAGGTTGGTCCGGATGGCAAGATTGATCGCCTTAAGGCCCGTCTTGTTGCCAAGGGATATACTCAGATATTTGGGCTCGATTACAGTGATACCTTCTCTCCCGTGGCTAAGGTAGCATCGGTCCGCCTTTTTCTATCCATGGCTGCTGTTTGCCATTGGCCTCTCTATCAGCTGGACATTAAGAATGCCATTTTACACGGTGAACTTGAGGATGAAGTTTATATGGAGCAACCACCCGGGTTTGTTGCTCAGGGGGGGTTTCGTGGCCTTGTATGTCGCTTGCGCCGGTCACTTTATGGTCTAAAGCAGTCTCCTCGAGCCTGGTTTGGTATGTTCAGCATAGTTATCCAGGAGTTTGGCACGACTCGGAGTGAAGCTGATCACTCTGTGTTTTGTCGGCACTCTGCTTCGAGTCTCTGTATTTATCTGGCGGTCTATGTTGATGATATTGTTATACCGGCAATGATCAGGATGGTATTACTAAATTGAAGCAACATCTCTCTCAACACTTTCAGACTAAGGACCTGGGCACACTAAAGTATTTTTTGGGTATTGAGGTCGCTCAGTCTAGCTCAGGTATTGTGATATCACAACGGAAGTATGCCTTAGACATTCTTGAGGAGACAGGAACGACAGGTTGTAGACCAATTGACACTCAGATGGATCCGAATTCTAAACTTCTACTAGGACTGGGGGAGCCGCTTAGCGATCCTGCAAGATATAGACAGCTGGTTGGTAAATTAAATTATCTCACAGTGACTAGACCTGACATTTCCTTTCCTGTGAGTGTAGTAAGTCAGTTTATGGATTCTCCCTGTGATAGCCACTGGGATGCAGTTGTCCGCATTCTTCGGTATAAAATCAGCTCCAGGCAAAGGGTTATTGTTTGAGGATCGAGGTCATGAGCAGATCGTTGGTTACTCAGATGCTGATTGGGCAGGATCACCTTCTGACAAACGTTCTACGTCTGGATATTGTGTTTTAATAGGAGGCAATTTGGTGTCTTGGAAGAGTAAGAAACAAAATGTAGTTGCTCGATCTAGTGCAGAAGGAGAATATCGAGCAATGGCTATGGCAACATGTGAGCTAATTTGGATCAAACAATTGCTCAAGGAGTCGAAATTTGGTGACATCAGCCAGATGGAACTTCTGTGCGATAATCAAGCTGCCCTTCATATTGCATCAAATCCGGTGTTCCATGAGACGACTAAACACATTGAGATTGATTGTCACTTCATCAGAGAAAGATACTCTCAAGAGATATTGCTACAAAATTTGTGAAGTCGAATGACTTTAAATAGTACAAATGACTAAATAGTATTAAATAACTTTAATCCCATATATTAGGAGTAGGACATGTATTTTATATATATATATATATATATATATATATATATAGGACATTGTATCATTGTTAAAACATGTCAATAATAATATTTTCTCCTGTGCTTTCTCACAAACACAAACTCACTACATTCTATACCAGCAATCAGCTAAACTTTTCAGAAAATGCCATCTCCTACTTCAAAAAATCAGAAAACTTTTGCAGTATTGTCGCATATTAAAAAAAATGAAAAGAACAAAAACGAAAACACCAAGGAGAAGGAGCCGTACCATGGTCTGAACCATCCCAATTCGCTGAGACCTAAAGATGGCAACAGTATTAACAATATCCAGAGCAGACATATCTCCACCCAGTATTCTCTGGATGGTATTATGGATTGTGCAATATGTTCCTGTCCTACCAATACCTGCACTGTACCAGAGAATGAGGTGTCAGGCTATAAGAACAAATAATTACAGAATTTTAAAAGGGACACGCTACAGATAATGATGAACGGAACCTGCAGTGTACTACAATTGGTCCAAGACTAAGAGGCACATCGTGTGTTCGATTCAGAATTTCACGAACAGCAAGTGTGTCCTCTGGAACTCCATGATCAGGCCATTCAGGATACTGAATGTGTATAACATGCAAAGGTGGTTCTTCTGACTGGCACATAGCAAGAGATGCGAATCAGGCATGTATTCTTAGCTTCCCACAATACAGCAAATATTCTAGTGTAGTGTGAGTTTATAACTTTATATAGAGATGGCTATTGGCGCTGTAAAATAGGGGAAAATAACACAACCCACACCCAATAGGTCAGATAATATTGGGAAAATGGGCTGGGTCTTACAGGGGAAGTGTAACCAAATTGAGGGAATGCATAGACGTCATCCCAGCATCTAATTGGCAGGACCAACCAGGTAACCTTCACCTAAAACTACTTAGTGCTTTTCTAAAGCTTATCCAGCAGTGGTCTAGATGCTTTGCGTTCCCTTGGGTGTTATGGAGGCACGGATTACATAATGAAAAACTTATTCAACCACAAGCTTCTGGAGCATTTAGCTATGCATGAACAAGTACTAAAAGAGCATAAACTGAGGTTTTGAGTTCCAGAGGCTCTGAAGGTGAACTCAGGCAGCAACAGTAAGCTCAACATTCTGGCAGCAACAGGATTTTTTCTCTCATCACAACTCTGTATTTGGGGAATCACTCAGTAACTTACTCCTTGAAATGACGGCGAGAAAGGTGATGTCTAACAACAACAAACTCAGTGAGTTCCCACAAGTGGGGGTCTAGGGAGGGTAGTGTGTGTGCAGACCTTACCCGTGTATCCCTACCCTGGGAGGGGAGAGAGGCTGTTTCCTATAGACCCTCGGCCAAAGAAATGAGAAAGGTGATGTCTAAGAACTTTGTAATTAGTAAATGGAGAACCGGGTGTGTACTTTGACATTATAGAAACTGTCTCACAGAATGAATACCGGTATCAATGGATCGAGAGAAGGGAATCCTTAGTCAAGAGATTGACAGTCAGCACATGGATCCTATTATGGATCTGTCAAAGGTTATATTAGCATCCGAAGGAACTAGGGAGATGTACAGGAAATGGGGTGAAAAGGAACAAGCATATGAATATGGAGTGTCACAAAAATTTATCAGGTAAGGAAGATATGTGAGCATACTGAAATTCCAGGGAGATCGAAGAAGTGTGATTATCACCTGGCTGACGGGCATAACTAGCAAGATATTTGCAGACAAGGGAAAGCAGAGCAACTGGTCATCTCAGCAGAATTCCTATGCTGAAGCAGCAAAGTTAAATAGCTGGCCAGAAGTGAACAAAGATATCGGTTGCTTGAAAGTATTCAGAAGCCCAGGTTAGCAAAGCCTCAAGAAGATAACAGCAATTTGGACGGTGATTGCATCTTCTAACCACATCTCTATCTTAAAGACTAGGCTAAGCAACAACAAAGATGGCAAAGCAAGCAGAGAAAACTGCCAAATTCAACCATCCTCCATCAAAGATATCGGTTAAACAATCATCTTAAGCTGGTCCGGCACTCCATGCTCAACAACACAATAAGACCTTTTCATTCTTTTTTATTTCTTGTATTTCACAAGGACTGCCAACGATTTACTAACCTCAATATAGTTCACCTCCAGATTTCGTAATATTAAGGAGGTATGACTCGTCTTTATACATTTCGTCACAACACATATATTCCCAAATGTTCTAGGCCCATCCTCTGCCTGAAAGTAATCCCCACACTTCACCATCTGCATTTGTTTTCATCAAAGGAGAGGGTAAGATAATAAACTGCTCAAACCAAATATAGGTAATGCTTAAATAGAGATGGCGGCTAACAAGTCTTACAATAGACAAAAGGAAGGAAGGCATAGCAGTTTTCATACTCGTCATAAAGTTATACAGATGAGGGATAAAGGTCATGAGGCAAGGATATATCTTCCTACCTTTTCATTGCTTCCATTTATCTGCTAAAGATTGGAAGCGCAAACTGAGAGAACATATGAGACATAAATTTCAAATCCAGAGAGGCAACAAGGCTTTACATCAGAATTCTCAAATTCCTCCAAAGATCATCATATGATCTATTGGTCAACCTGGAAGTCCTATCCCACAAAATTCTGGACAACACTACTGTATTAGAATGAGCATGAACTTATTGGGGCCTCAGGGTGTTTCTAAGATCCTCTTGAAATTTAAAATGAAATATGCAGAACAAACAATGTCCCAACATACAACAACAATAACCCAGTAGAATCCCTACATAATGAACAGGAAACTCCTATGCCGAAAGAGAACTCTAATTTAAGCCGTTTGACTTGAATTCTAATTCGATCCTACAGATGCTAATTCTTATAGCAGCAATTGCTCTCTCAAAGCTATATTTTTATATCTAAAATCACAAACTTCTTGACGCATACTGTCCTTTGACGTTACTCAAAATCCACTTAGAATACTTAATCGAAGCCAAGCTCCTGCATATTTGAAGAAACTGAAAGATGCACAGTTGCAGGAGGAACAAGCAAGGTTTATATCAGTAACTATTTTTAGCAATTGACATAAACCATAAACCATAACATCCTGCTCCAGGTTGGAGCGAAAAAAGAATGAGGAAAGAACACAAATAAGAAAATGAGGACGCTAATTAGTAATACCAACAAGTGCCTTCCTGTATCCCAGGCTTAGGAGCACTAGCAGTGGAATGAAAAGAATAGAACACGATTTTTTTCTCTTCAGCCTCTCCATGCCCTTCTTCCTCACTTTGGTAAAAAAAAAAAAGAGAGGAGAAAATAGTTTGAAGATGAAAAGCCAATACTCAACAAAGATCCATTTGAACTTTTTTACAGCATAAAATTTCCAGATCCACTTTACAGCGGAGGATACAAATGAAAGAAAACAAAAAGGTAAAAGGGTATGTTGTTTCTTTTGAGAAGCAAATTATACATCAGACTATTGTCACAAAATGTTAATATACTTTGGTCGCAAAACAAGTAAGTCTCGTTTCAGGAATATACTTATTATCACAAAGGTTACCTGGTTGTCTAAACAGTTGAATACCTTGTAATTGTCAACCAATCGTGTAAGCATCACAATCACAGGACAGCGATTCTGAATAATCATTTCCCAGAAGTCTTCAAAGGTATGTGGTAGTGGACCTTGTGTTGCAATAAACCGGGACACTCTTTCTGATATCTTCAGCCAAAAAGAGCAGTATGTGGTAAGAAGCAGATTTGTGTTTTTATGTTTTATGCTAATAGCTCGAGTGGGTGAAGTATCTCTTTGAGTAATTTCAAGTGAAGGATGTAGGAACCCACCGATACAAAGCTTGCATTGATATATCCCCTAGCTGAAGGTCTATAGTCTTTACATGGGTCCAAAACGACCCTACTATTGTCAACTGAGATCAATGAAGCTTGATATAATTAATTCGAAGTAATGATACATTTTAAAAGCAAGGAAATTAAACAGACAACTGATTAGCATACATGGCAGAACATCAGTATAACGATTTTTGCTGATGTTTGTGCTGTCCAAAGCCACCGAGCATCTACTTTTCATCTCTGAAGCTTTCAACCTATTTTTCTGAATCAAAGGAGCTTGAGTTTAAGCATGTCACCAAATGAAGCAGAATAACATCATAGGATGATTGACAAATAAATAACAAAGAGTCAAACGACAACAATAAAGCAATAAGAATTTCTGAAGATATAAGAGAACCACCATTTGATATGAATCAGCAAGATGAATCTTTTGCTTTAATTAAGATATTGTACTTTATGCTATCGAGATCATTTAGCAGAACAGCCACCCAAAACATCAAAAAATGAGATACTTTCGTATCTGAAACTATTAAAAGTTGTTTCGAAAAGGCAATTAGACCATCTACCTCACAGTAGGGCATTACCCCGTTTTCCCTAACAACATATTTCCAGTTTCTCTGTTTCACGATTTTTAAAATTTATTTTATGTATATAAACTTTAAGGACGTAGTAAACCTGAGCTGATGACTTGCGAGTACAAGGGGTTCCCTGTTAGCCCAACAATCAATATAAAATTTCAAACATTATCTGGTCTTGTCCAAGACTATAAACACATTGGATACATCAATGTACTGCATGCGTGGCTCAAAACATTTAAGGGCATCACATACCTATTATTGTCTCAAACTTTTGTGGCCTAAAATCCGACTTTCTGTTTCATGATACATTCAACAAACTCTAAAGAAATGTTCAATACTTAGCAACAAAATTATGTATACATTAGCAACATATTTATTTGGTAAATACTCCATAGAGGCAATGTTCTGGACCAAGTATAAATAAAGAGGGCACAAACACTACTTTCTCACACAAGTCTCCTCTCTTTCTGTGGTATCTGTCACCAATTATCTTCCTTCTGAATTTTTTTATTCCTTTTGATACAACAAAAGTTGTGTTTTAAGAGTCATTTAGCTTTTTTATAAATCAGTAAGCCTCATTTAGCTCATTAAGCTAAACATTTGTTAATCATGGGGGCCAAAATGCTGCTGCAGTCATTTTTAGCACATATTAGTAGGCTAAGTTACTCAAATTCTTCACTTTCGGTGCTGATGTGGGTGTGGGTCGTACCAGATCTGGTCAACTGATTTTGGGTGCTTTGACCAAAATGGACGGAAAAATTCGGGACTGATACAATGATTTCTGAAATCAAATCAAAAGCTAGGGTGAAATTGAAGAAAATGAAATACCTTATTTATTGAAATTTCTATGTCAGTGCTTTTCCTTTTATCTCCTTCTTGGATTCTCCTCTTGATCAATTTTTTCTCCTTCTTGAAATACCTTGTAAGTTTTCCACATAATGTCATTTAAATATATTTTTATAACTCTATTTTAGATACTTATTTTTAGCTGAATATCTGCACCTGTATCCATACTTGCACCTGTATCCATACTGCAAATCTTAAAATTTAGATCATAAAAGATCCGACCTCTAGATCCGCACCCATATCGGACACCCGCACCTGAGTCCGAGCAACTTAGTTAGTAAGGTGAACACCAGCATATAAGATGATAGATAATATCTGCTAGGAGAACTTATTCTACCGATTTGCAACGTAAATATGGGAAATATAGCCCCGGACTAGACCCAAAAACCACAAGAAGTCTACATTTTCTATGGATTTGGTGAAGAAACACATATTCAATACACCTATTACCAAAAACAGTGATGCTTATGCACCTATGTCGAACTTATATGTTTGTATCCGTCCTATTAATATGGGCTAGAAGAAACTTGTATCCATCCATTCGTAGTGTATTTCAGATACCCAAGGATGTGAATCATGTGACCTAACAGTTTGAAACTGTATGAAAACCAAGCAAGATGAGGGTTCAAATCCAATATAGGCAAAACAAACTAGTTGATTTTTTTCTCATTTGCCGAAACGCTGGTGGATATATTGTCAAATAACTGTATTGGTGGAAAAACATAGGTACCTGATAGGCTAATTGAGGTTGTACACAAGATGATCCGAACATTATCATTATAAAATAAAAGTATGTGTATAAACTCCATAGAGATATGTGTTAGTTTGTGTGTACTCAGTTCACATTATTTGTTTAATTCAATTAAGAAAGATATCTTGATGCACCCATTATTAGGAAAGCTAATAAATATACTGTTACCAGAAAAAGGAAAAAAAAGAATAAATTTCACGTTTCATTTTATTTTCATATTTTTTCTTCCTAATTCCACCTCTCATTTCTATTGTACAAGAATATTATTGTAAACATACAAGCAAGTCTAAAAATTCCAAACTGGTTTTAACAAGTCGCCTCACGCTAAGATTATGTCTTATTCACATATTTCTAGCCACAACATCTGCTGGAATTCCAGTCTCAACTCCACGTGCTTCGGTTTTGAGGTTGATTAAGGAAAAGATACAGTATACAACATATACAGTACAACCCCCCTAAATTAATATTGCCGAGACCATGAATAATCGATAAATTAATATTTATTAATTTAAAGAGTGTTTTCGAGATTCAATGAAGGTTAATTTTGATTACATCAAAATCATTGTATCTTAATACTTTATGTGTCATATTTATTGAATTAATATAAAAAAAATTCATTATACATAAAGTATAATGTATGATACATTGTAATATTTTTTTATTATTAAATGATTCATTGTAATTAATAAATCATTGTTTCTTAATAATCAAATATTATTCATTGTATTTTTACTAAAAACATTCAATGTATGATGGTGAGAGAATAAACTATATAAGCAACATAGAAAATTTCTTCAAACCGTACCCAACAATGGCTTCTAATCTAAAAGGTGTCACAAAATCAACAATGACAAATCAAATACGTACAGCATTATTTGAGTACAAAAGAGATCATTCCACATGCACTCAAAAAGATTTACAATTGTGGCTTAATGAAAACTTTCATTTGAAAGTTAGTCAAGTACAATATCAAACACACTCAAAAGATCAGCTGAGTATCTTTCGGCTCACTTAGAAAAAAGAAGGGATATCAAGTGGCACAAGCCAGCAAAATTTCCAGACATGGAGAATTGTTTATGAGTGGTTTCTCCAGTACCACGACCGTGCGAATTTAACCAGAGGGTTAATTTTGGAGAAGGCAAGAGATACAATGAAACTTTTATATCCTCAACAAGATTTTGAGCACAACTTTTCTCAAGTTATTATTTTTATTTTTAAGATTTTTAAGAATAATGATATGAAGTGTTTCATTAGTAATCAGTACCAAGATGGTACTGAAAAGGTTACGGAAAATATGGTACCAAGATTGTTGCCCCTAAAGGTTTTTTTGCAACACAAAAAAGCAGGCAAGGTGATCACCTTTCAACTTTCTCATTCAAATTGGTTATGGAAGGTCTAAGCAAGAAACTAACTAAAGTAGAACTTCAGGATTGGATCGAGGGCTTCAACCCAAATGTGAGGAATCTGGGAATTTCATCTTACTCATACTTTTTATGCAGACGACTCTCTAATTTTTTCTGAATCTAAGCGGGAACAGATTCTTCATCTCTGATTGATGCACTTATTTTTCAAAGTGGAGTCTGGATTACATATAAACTATACCAAAGAGTGTCCTCTACCCAGTGAACGATATCCCCAACCTACAGGAAATTGCTGAAATTCTGGGCTGCAATGTGTGTTTGTTTTCAACCAGATACCTGGGCCTTCCTTTGGGAGCAATTTGGGATGACATCTTGGAAAAATGTGAAAAGAAGTTGTCTTGTTAGAAAAAAAAATACCTTCCTCTTGGAAGTAGACTCGTGCTGATTAACAGTCTCAACTCTTTGTTTCTGTGGCATAAAGGTTGGATAAACTTTGGAGAGATTTCTTATGGCAAGGAAACAGAGATCACAGAACATTCAATCTGGTGAAACGGGAAACAGTAACCTTAGATAGGGAAGAAGGGGATCTTGGGGTCAAAAATCTGATGATCCAGAACAACAGGTTACTTCAAAAGTGGCTTTATGGAGATCTACTATTGAAGCAAAGTAATATGGACTTTTGAACTCCTAGAGAACTAAATTCACACTTCCACACAATCAAAACAGCATTGAAAGCACATTAGAGCACACTGGCCTTCCTTTCGTTCCAACACATCATTTCAAAGTGGAAATGGAGAAAGATCAAGTTTTGGCAGAATATTTGGCTTGGTCATGTATTCTAAGAGAACATTATCTTGCACTGTCCCAAGTAATAAGATTCACAGAATATTGGTCATATCATGGCTGGAATTTCAGCTTCGGACGCAGTTTAAGTAATTGGAGGTAAACCATCATCACTATTGCTCCAGATCCATAACAACACACCCTTATTCTCCAGACTGATTCTCTATTGTGGAAACGTGATGCTAAAGGAAAATTTTCAGTAAAAGATTGCTGCAAGCAGCTTAGGGACCTTTTTGCCTCCTTGACACCTTCCCCCTTCGGCCATAGAAATGCATTTAGAGGAACAAGGCACCCTTGAAGATGGAGTGTTTTACTTGGCTGGTGGCTCAAGGAGCATGTCTAACTTGTGAGAATCTTCAGACGAGAGGGATGAATATGTGTAGCAGATGCTCACTATGTGAAAGGCAGAATGAGAACATCAACCTCATTTTTTTCCATTGTCCAATTATCAAATAAATGTGGGATCTCATCATGAACATTTTGACAATTAAATGGATTATGCCAAGAACAAACAAAAGACTTGTTGCAGTGTTGAACATTAAAGGATAGGGAAAGGCAAGAATGAGGACTTGAAACTCAATTCTTTCAGCTGCATGATGGACTGTTTGGAAGGAAACAACCACAAGAAATTTTTAGAGCAAAATTGAATCTGTAACTAAAGCTAAGTATAGATGCATCTCCTTATAGTTTTTTTTGGTAACATGGTTATTGCAAATGATATATATGTCATGATAGACATTTGAGTTCATTACACATTCGGCGGTGATGCTGCCCTGAAAATATCAGTAAAGCACCTTCTGGTTGCTGACTTTTTATATAAATACCTTATTTAGAGGTAGTCAAAAGCAAAAGGCGCGTAAACGCACCAAGTTCTGTTGGAGCTTTCAGCACAAAGCGCAATTAAAGCGTGAGCTGCGAAGAAAAGTGCCTAACAGAAAGAAAAAAAAAATAATAGAAATCCTTTGCAAAAGAATGTAACTATAAACACAAATAATAATTATTCGAACAAAAATGACAAAGCATACTTAAGCTATATGTATGTTGTTGTGCCCTTTAAGACAAAACCCACAAGTGAAGGTGCACTCGCATTAGTATCTTGATGCCTATGCTAAAGCCGCCAATTACGTGAGGCGCAGTACACAACCTGGGCTTCACCGAGCTTCCGGCTTAACCGAGCTTTGAGCGAACCTTTAACAACACAGGAATGTTGTGCCTTATCAGCAGTGACTAGTGAATGACAACTAAGAAGCTAGATATTAAAAGCCCAACTAGCAAAATTGAGAAGACTAAGATTAAAAAATGTCATTCTTTTCGTTTTGATAAAGACTAAAAAATGTCTTTAAAGTAGATAAAACAAGAAATACTGAAAGAAGCTATGAACTTGAGACGTTATCAAGGTAGCATTTCCGGTATAGACAACTTAGAATGACCAAGGCAAGGAAGACCTACCGATGCACCTATTATTGAAAAGAGTAATGCTCATATACCTATGTCTACCTTATATTCTAGTGTTCACCCTACTAGCATGTCAACAATAGGTGCCAGGCAACTTTATTCCCCAAGGCTTTGATTTTGTCTATTTAAAAATTTACTATTCCCTTCGTCCCAATTTATGTTACGGTGTTTGACTAGTCAAGGAGTTTTAACAAACATTGAAAGATTTTGTAATGTTCCAAAATTATCCTTATTAATAAATATTAAAATCTTAAGTAGAAAATACAAGTAACTCTCACATGATTAAAGAAATCAATAGCATTTCTCTCTCCTCATAAAGTGGTGGCAACTCATTAATGTATTGTATAGCCATAGAGTCCAAACATGATTCCAAATCTGCTCTCTCTCTTGTCTCACTCTCTCTCATACACGAAGAAGTCTCAATTGAAAAAGGTCACCACAAATTAGTAGAGGTCTCGGCAAACTAGGTTTATTTTTTTACTTGTACACAAGTTTTTTCTTGATTTCACCTGCAATTCCAAGAAAAAAGATTACCCCAAAATTAATTTGTTAATTGTTATCACTACGCTTTGCCAATCTGTTCCCAAGAATCGCCGCCAAAAATAATTTTTTGAGCTTAGGACTCTAAATTTTTGTTAGTGGCGCCAAACTTTTTCCTAATTTTGAAATTTAACAAGTGAAGGTGTGTATACAAGCATAGAGACATCCACTTTTATTTATTTTACGCCTCTTTTATTCTTCTCTCTTTGATACTTATCGCACTGGTTAATTATCTCTTTCTTTGTTTTTCTATTTTTGTCTTTTAATACTAAATCATTGATCTAAAAAGAATAAAATGAGTATTGTATTTCCAGTAGAACCAATCATCAGAAACAGTTACATTTGGAAGAACGTCAAGCAGTTGCAAAGTGACTTTTGAAAAAAAGTAATGAAGGAACGGTTAAAAATAGTTCTATAACATAAGCCGCTATATTGTTCAAAAAATCGAAAAATTACTACTGAACGTTTTGGAAACAAGGCAAATCATCTGTTGCTTTTAGTAATGTGTTAAATGTGTCTTCAAACCCTGTACGCAGAGTTAGGAATAAACAGATACAAGTCGACATTAACCAATTCAAAGAAACTCCATTTTGTCGTCGAACAAACATTCAATCTCTGGATTTTGCAATAAACAAGACAAAATCAACTATTTTTCGGCATGTGAAAGAAAGCACATACATACAATGCCATGAAGCCTCACTTAACCGAAGAAAACAAGAAGGTGCGAGTGCGATTTTGCCTCTCAATGATTGATCTTGGTACACACCATGCAAATGTCATGTTTACAAACATGTTTAATTATATTTATATCTATGAGAAATGGTTTTACTTTTTGAAAAAATCCAAAGGTACTACCTGCTTTCTAAAGAAGATGAGTCTAATCCATATCATTCTTACAGAAGTGGAAATTTTATGACAAAGATTATGTTTATGGTTGTTGTTGCGCATCCTAGATTTTATGAAAATGGAATAAAGTTGCTTTCAAGAAAATAGGAATTTCTCTGTTTGTAGTTAAGGAACCAGCTATGCGAAATAGCAAAAATCGAGCAGCAAGACTGTCAAAGCAAAACCTATTTGTGACTAAAGATGTCAAAAGAGCTTGCTAGATAGAGAAAGTATTCCAGCCATTAGATCAAAATGGTCAGCTTCACCGTCAAATATTCTAACTTTTATCCAACAAAATAGTTCAAGACCACATATTGGTGTTAATTATTTGGAATTTACTGAAGCTGCTCAACAAGGTTGATTGGGCATTAGGCTATGCTTTCAATCCCCTAAAAGCCCCGATTTAATATTTTGGACCTTGAATTTTTTAAAGCAATTCAATCTTTTTAGTATCAAATGGCCCCTTCAAATATCGATGAATTACTGGAGGTTGTTGAAAGATTTCCTATGAAATGAAAGCTTAACAACTTAATCATGTATTTCTAACTTTAAAGTATTCCATAATTGAGGTGATGAAAGATAATGGTTGCAATAACTACAAAGTACCTCACATGAAAAAGAAAGACTTGAAAGAGAGTACATCTTCCACTTCAACTTTGTTATGATGTTGATATTGTCAATCAAGCTTTAGCTCTACTTCAACAATGATGTGAGTTATTACTATGTCAAGGTTATCTATTTTTGCACACTTTGCTTTCTACTGGAACTTGTAGGTTTACATGTTAAAGTTAGAATGTAAATTTTGTAAAGCGTGTTGGGAGCAATATTATTGTGTATAACCTTGGTGATATGTCCATAATTGTAATATTCTATTATTTTTTTTGGGTCTTTAAAGCTCAGGTGCAAAATCGAAAGAAAAAATAAGAAATCTTCACCAAGTTGAGAATACAGAGCAAAAATATAACAAGAAGGTGTTCACCGATAATGTACACTTCAGTGTATACTTTGAGGCATGAACTAACTCCAAAACACACAAATCACCACAATGCTTCATTTCTCAAATTTGTTAAGGGGCGGACATTGAGTATGACAATACGCACTATGAACTAATCTGAATCCTAATTGAGTGAATGGAACAGTTTGAAGGTGGAAAAGTGAAAAAAGGCAGTAAAATTTTTACGCCTTTTATAGTTTACGTTATAATCTAATATATATATTTATTGTATATGTAAGTATGTATTTCTGTATGGTAATACCAAGACCAGGGGCGGATTTTTTTGGGGGTACACTATAAATATAAGCCAAATTCGTTTTATGGCTCAATATATTATATTTTGAATCTCCTTGCCATAGTCCAAAAGAGCCGCTCAGTGGTCAAGGGATTTGTGGGGTTGCTGGTTCAATTCCCACTGCCACATTCCCTTTTAATTTTTAATTTTTTTCTTTTTTAACCCCTTACTGGAAACCCCGCCTCTACCATTAATCAATACTTTTAAAAACGTAAATTTAAATGCTATACCAGCCAAAATACGAAAATTTCAGATAACATCCAATTAAACATCAAATATCAAAAGGTTTTCAAAGGAATAGCTGAATACTACAAATTAAGAGAGAAAAGGAAACCTGCAAAGCAGAGAATTCTGAGTCAATTTTGCCAGGAGAGTGACACCTTTTCTCCTTAAAGGCTGGGAGTGCTTCCAAACAGTAACTACGCTGATCAGGCGACAGTACGATTCTCTTTGGAACCGAATCAGCAGAGAAATTCAAAGGTTTTGTGACGGTGCCCGTGGCAGTAACTGGCGGCTCCGTGGAAGTGGTGGCGGAGGATAAGGGATTACCGGCGGCAGCCATCGCCGATCTCCGGCTCCGACTCCGAACTGATACCGCGCTACCCGTGGCTCCGAAATTTAGTTTTTAATTTTTTAATTTCCCCCCTTTGGGTCTCAGTAGTAGTCTGCAGCTGTCGGGAAATGATTCTGTCACCACCTGAATTTATGGATTATATCCTTTTTTTTCTTTTTTCTTTTTAGCTTGGTGATGAAGCAAATAGAAACCGTTTAACGTGTGCTCATAAGTTAAGTTAAATTTCATGAGTGATATCTAAACTAATAATTTATAGTACAAAATATTTAAATTAAAATTTGCTACAAAAATATACTCAAAAGTACAAAATAACATAAGTTCCGACGCTAAAAGCATCAATTCCGACACTTTTATGAGTTTGTGATGCAAAATAACATAAGCAAATTATTTCAAAAATAAAACTCTCCAATTACTAATTTTTAAAAACCTATTTTCCTTGTTCCTCAATTTTATTTGTTTATAGTTATAAAATACTTGATTATGGTGGATGTCCATAACTCCTAAGGGAGTAACACCCACTACTCTTCTCCATTAACCTCCCACTACTTCTTACCATTATGGATGTAACTCTCACACCTCCATGATCTTCCCCCATGTTCTCAATAGTTAATACCATGTTCATGGAGTCCCTTTGTATTACCTATATCATCCTATAAATAGAGGGTCTGGGCATCACATTGTACACACTTGAATACATGGAAGAAGTAGATTCTCTCCTCTCTATCTCTCTACATTGTTGTCTATCTTCTTGTTTTATGTATTACTTTGAGCTAAGTTTCGTAACACGTTATCAGCACGAACGCCTCATTCTTCGTTAGGTTGTGGTAGGTGTTTCTTAACTTTCACGGCTTGCCTACTCATACCCTTTTGGTTGTCAAGTAACTATTTGTTTATTTGTTTTCACATACAATGGTAAGAGTCTTTATGCTATTTTTGTTTACTAATCCACAAATTTTTAATTTTATGATTATGCTTAAAAGCTAACATGCAAACTGTGTATTAGATTGAAACTTGCCTAACAATGAAAATCACAAAATGATGCTGCCGACGGAATTTAGATCATCCCTACAAGAACTGCCACATTGCACAAAAAATTACATTAAATGCTCTCCTATGTCGGAAACGAACAGTACAACTTACCATATCGTCATTATCTGCATAAGCCATATAATATTTTTCCTTAGAGTTAATATTAATAGATATAATGCATAATTTGTTTATGTTTTTTTGTGTCTACAATATAAAAAGTTATGATTAGTTCTCCCCTTTATCGATGCAGATACTATAGTTTTATTTATCACTAGATGAGTTTACGCTTATATCCATTGGAAGTGATAATACTTTTAAGTCTTATGATGATTAAATACGATGATGCAAGGGTAAGAAAGATGGGTTCAAGCCCACCGTACCATGCGGGTAAGACATTGTTTCTTGTCTTGATGTACCATTATAAGAGTTGGGTTTGAGTCCTAACACATGCTTTTATGTGTACGACATTGAGTTTGAGTCCCAGTGCACCATATTGATGATATAATGATGACTAAAGAGAAATAATGTATTTTTCATGAAAAAGCATGAAGTTTGTCCCACTTGATTTGCTCTATTCTTGAAGTGAATGTGATAGCGGTGCATAATAAGTCTAAATGAAGACAAGTGGTTGACCAATGAATGTGGGCGTGCCAAAGATCAAAATAATAATAGTCATCATTATGGTAATTGTAAAAAGGAGAACAATAAGGGTTCTCAAAATAATCCTTCAAAGGTCAAGGAATTGTGTATCAATATGGTTTGTAAATATGAGGCACGCTCTGATGATTATAGTCCATTTTTTTTGAAAGAATGCGACTTGTGATAAGCATTGTAAATGCAGACTCATTCCTGAAGTGAATGTGAAATATATATGTGATACAAATTATGCACAAGAATATGTGTATGCATGGTTGAATAAATACTACAACTCACCTCTACCGGAGGTTTGAGAGAAAGAAAGATCATGAACACTACTATGTGGTTACACGAATACGTCATTTATCGTGTATATGTGGTGCGCCGAAAATATTTTGACATGCCTTATAAAAAATTATTAAAGGCAAAAGTAAAGCAAGAAATAAGTCTTGTCTATAATGTTTTTGATTGTGACAATGATAAGATAATTTTTTCTGTGGAGAAAAAATTCACCATTTGGATGGTGGTATAAAAGATCTTGTAGTACAAAATATTGAGAGCTCCGAAAGAGCGAATTTGTTACTACCCGAATAAATAAAATTATTCATGGCATTGGTGGTAGTATGTCTCAAAAAGGAACTTTTTGAGTTTCAAATATATTAGCCAAAGAGGTTGGTATATTGAGACTATAAATGAAAGGAAGATTGAATATCTTCATATTACTATAATCATACCGGGTAAATATGAAAGGTTACTCGATTTTTCTTCTCTTTGTACTACAGATGTATAAGCATGGTGATGGAATCACATGCCATAGTAAATTAAATATTTACTGAAACAAATATCAGTTGGCATGACCGGTTGGCCATCCCGGTTCAATTACGATGCGAAAAATGATTGAGAATTCACATTGACATAAATTGAAGAATAAGGAGATTCTTCGAGAATTCTCATGTATGACTTGTTCTCATGATAAATTGATTACTATACCAGCTGGGGTTGAGATTGTATTATCTGATTTTTGGAACGTATAAAAGGTGATATATATATGGGCCCAGTCACCTGCCATGTGGACCGTTTACTATTATATGATTTTAATAGATACATCTATTTTATGGTCACATGTGCGTTTGTTATCAACTTGCACTTTGGTTTTTGCAAGGTTGTTTGCTCAAATTATTAGAGCACAGTTCCAGAATATATATTATGATAATTTATCTTGATAATGCTGGTTTAAATCCAAGTTGGTTTAGCAGAAATTGTATGCCTCCAATTAAACTAAACCATTGGATATGAGAATAAAACTCCCAAATAGAAATTTGGTATGAGGTATATTATTTAATATACAATAGCACTTGTACGCATCTAGCCAACAAGTTATGATAAATTCTCCCCATCACAATTGGTTCAGGGTCAGGAACCAAATATTCCCATGTAGAAATATGGATGTGCTATATGATTTAATTGTGCTATCACATTGCACAAAGATGGATTCCCAAAGAAAGTTGGGAATTGTGCTGGTGATCCCAACATTAGGGGGAGAAAATGAGCAGCTGAAAAAAGTAATACATGGAATGAATTATTATGAGTATACCTAGATCCTCGTACAAGAAAATGTGAATTTGAAGTTCAAGTGATAATTCATTTTCAAAATATTGTCAGACGCATTTGATGACCCAAAGCTAAATGTCATATTTCAGCTGTTAATGTTCCAAATAGAATAAAGTCCATGATGGACATAGTTTGTGGAACGCATGAAACATAATAGGCAAATAGGTTCCAAAGATAAAACTCCTTGAAGAAGGAGGGAGCAAATGTTCAAGATGGTCATAATAAGGAGGCAAGTGCTTTATAAGAGCACCATGACATAACACTTTATAAGACCTCATGGGAGAGGCTCAGGTACCTGAACCTGAAAATAATGAGATCTCGATAAGTTTATTCTTTATTGTTGATGATGGAAACGATGTAAA